AAGTTAAATAAAAAATCACTTTGTTTTTATACTCTGTTAAGCCGTTGCAGTTCAGAATAGATCGACCTGACATGGTTATGTTAGGTATCTAAGGGAACCTCAGCAATACTTAACATAACATGCAAGTCACATAACTCACTGCTCGGTAATTATTAGTACTTTTTGCTGCATTTTTTCCAGTAGCACTCATGCACGGCATTAACAATTACGCTGATGACGAAGCATCCGAAGGCGTACGGAATGAATCGCTGACACGGGTTCGGTGCACTCGCACTGTTGAGCCCGATGAAGATAAGCTGCTTAATCGCTGCGCATTGAAAACAGTGAACCAATCGAGATACGAGCTGAGCATTACTGCAGCATCTTCTTGTGAAATATCCAGCGATAAAAGATACTAAAATGTCCCAGGTTTTTACGAACATTTACAAGCTGCTCTCTGATTTTTATTTTTTTTTTACTCTCAAGAAAACAACGCAGCTATGGCGTCCACATTATTTACAATTATTCATCAGATATTACTTGTCGTTCACATAAACACACATATTCTAGTCGGTAGAAAGCCAAATCGCGGCCTGGAAACGGTAACAATGATGCCGAAATAGTAATGCTCAAAAAACCATTAAGGGCATTTGGAAATAGCTGAACCCATGCCAAGTTCTTTTGTCGGTAAGATAACTGAGCTGGTATATCTTCCAGAGACGAAAAAACTTTAAAATCGTTATTAGACTAATCACTAAGCGAGCGATGAAGTGCTTATAACTAGAAAAGTTGCCGGCTGTAAGGATACAGAACTAGGCCATAGTCTGCAGCTAATATTTGTTAAGTTAAACAGTAGCAATTTGGCCAAAACAAAAACTTGTTTTTCCAGTAATGTAGCTCAGAACATAAATATTCTACACGAGTTAAATCAGTACCAAACAAGCATCCATAGTTTACACTTTCCAAATTATTTAAAAAATTTCCAAAACACTTAAATGAGTCTCTGTTGTCCCATAATGAGCACACTAACAAAAACAGAAATATGCTTTCCACGCTAATGATTACGGAAAAAGCAGTGTGAGTGTAGATGCTTTTTTTCTCTCTTGAAAAGTATCCTAATCGGCGTTGTACAGCTACAACCTCTCTCTATATGCAACTTCGGAAAAAAAAGCCATCTTTTTTAGCTTCGGCACTAGTCACTGCACACTAAGGGCTACAAAAAAAAAATAAAAGAGCACTGACGATGTATTAAAACACAGCTGTTTCGATGTTGTACATTTCCATCGACGCACTCATGAGAACATTATTTTAAAACATTGTCTCAAGGATAATAAGTCAGTAAAAATTTTCATCACTTCACAAACACTGGAGGGTACAGGTTTTTTCTGCCTTCCTTCAAAGTTTGTTTTTTTTTATTTCATTTTATATTTCGGAATTATTAAAAACTTAATTTCTCGTCGCTACTTTCGGTTCGATTGAGTAATGTAGTGTACTCGGCCTGCATGAAACTTGATATAAACAAGTTTCGCAAGCAGACTGGGCATAGCTTATTGCTGTTATATGAATAACTGAAAATTTCTCGAGAAATATTTAATTCTGGCTTTTTGAAATAACAGATCAAAAACCTTTTTAGTTTGACATTTTTTGATTCTAGTTTCTTTCTGAATTTTTCTCATATTGAAGGAACGCATCTTAAAACTTATGCATTTCATCTCTGAAATCAGAATGTTCACTCGCAATAATAATTCGGTACTGTACAGCGGCGAGCTTTTGCTTCGATTTCTGCTTACCACTTCGGGTTTTTTTCGGAATTCTGTTTGTAACTGTGCTTTAGGAGATTCTCATTGCTTTTGCATTGACTTTATCCGAAATATGCTTACGGCTATTTTTGCTCCATATCGTGCTACGCCGTTTTGACGCCAGCACAGCGTACTTTCCTAATTTTGTGAGTTTAATGTTCTTTTGTGAGCTTAATTTTCTATTGTTTTTCTCGCGCAGTGCCTCTTCGTCGTTTTTATCGACTAATATTTTGTAAGCCGATAGTAGCACTCAGGTTGATCCAGGGTGCCAAAGTAAGGAAGGTGTATACGCAGCGGAAAAATAGCTGGTAAAAACAATTGAGTTAAGAAGCTTCGGTCCATTAATTCATATACGTCTTAGCTTAACATCACGACTGGACCTCGTCAGTATGACGGTCGTGGCGTTCAGGGAAGAGAATGAAAAGGAAGGAATATAAGAGAGAAGGAAACCCAGGCTGGAACGCACCAGGCGAGCCGGTGCGATCATGCGTTTTTGCATCAAACTTTGA